AGTCCCCAGCCACCCTCTATGTGCCTGTGACTTCCAAATTTATATCTGCAGCACGAGGGGCGCCTGGGTGGCTCAGTCGTTAGGCGTCTGCCTTCGGCTCAGGTCATGGTCCCAGGGTCCTGGGATCGAGCTCCGCATCGGGCTCCCTGCTCAGCGGGAAGCCTGCTTCTCCCTCTCCCACTCACCCTGCTTGTGTTCCCTCTCTTGCTGTGTCTCTGTCAAATAATAAAATCTTAAAAAAAAAAAAAGTTATGTTCTTAGCCCTCCTTTCTTTCGAGTATTTCATTCATTTATTTAAATACTTACTGAATGCCACCTGTCCCATTGTATGTCAACTATACTTAAAAAAAAAAAAAGAAAAACAACTTACTGATTGCTTACTAAATTCCAGGTACAGTTCTAGGTGCTGGGGAAATAGGAATAAATAATGGAAAAGTGCCTGCCTTTTCCCCATGGAGCTCACCCACAAGCAACCTCACCCCCTACTCAAGTCCCCAGCCACCCTCTATGTGCCTGTGACTTCCAAATTTATATCTCCAGCACGATGCTCTTTTAATTTGTATTTATTTATTTTTAAGTTTTTATTTAAATTCCACTTAACATACAGTGTAATATTAGTTTAATTTTAAAATTTCAGACACACCTTCATTTGTATGTCCTTATTTTTTTAAATGTTCTTTTTAAAAAGATTTTTATTTATTTATTTGGCAGAGAGAGAGAGAGAGAGAGAGCGCGCATAAACAGGGGGAGGGGCAGGCAGAGGGAGAGGGAGAAGCAGGCTCCCTGCTGAGCAGGGAGCCCAACTTGGGATCAATCCCAGGACCCTGGGATCACAACCCAACCAACTGAGCCACCCAGGTGCCCCGTCAGAATTCCTCTTTACAGTGAAGTTTGCCTCTTTCTGTATCACTTCTTTTAATGGCACCACCATGCACCCTCAATTGCTCATTTTTCTTCAGGATTCCTGCAATAGTTCCCAGTCTAATCATCCTCTGCTACAAGACTGAACTTCCTAAAATGCAAATTAGACCATACTTTAATAAATAATTAAAATACTTTAATAATTCCTTATCACCTTCAAGATCCTTTATTATTTGGTCCAACTCTTCCCTCACCTCTTACCTCCAAACATACCTCTGATTCCTTGTGTCCTTACCTTACTGAACTTGAATTTTCTTATATGGTTGTGCTTTGGTGCAGGTCATGCCCTCTGTTGAAAATGTCCTTCCTTCCCCACTTGTCCTGTTGGCTAACTTCTAGACCCACCTCATGTGCTACGCCCTCCAACCCAGCCTTCTTCCACCTCTCCCGTGTATACGGCTGTAGCATAATATGCAGACTTCTGTTGTGGATATTTACATGCTGTATCGTCAATGTGTGGTTTGTGATCATTTATTCTGCAACCTCTTCTACTAGACTATGAGTCCTGTGAAGGTAGGAAAGATGTCTTTTACTTCAGTGTCCCAAGAACTTAGTATGACCTATAACAAGAGTATAATAAATGTTTGTTGAGCCAATAAATGAACACATAAAAAATGGAGAATGGATAGGGAGAGATGACTGAAGAGTAGAAAGGAAGAGAATCAAGAGCAAATTTAAAAGGGTAGTTTTGGAAAAAATGTCCTAACTGTCTCCCTCTAGGACAAGAGAATGGAAGGAAAGGGATAGTTAGAAGCAGATCAGTTTGAGGTGAAGGGTAAGAAACTGAAGGAGTCCATGCTGGACAGTTTCTACTTCCTCCTTAACGTCGTAGGTAAGGCATAGCTCTTATCTGGAAGACTTATGTGTGTGTGAAGCATCGTAACAGCTTCTTTGAATCTCACCTTTCACACCTGCAAAACGCTCGATTCTATTCCCTATTCGTAAACCTTATCTCTTGCAACGTTGTAAGAACCAAGGAGACCATATAGGATTGGGCTTTGAGCTCTTTAGATAAGTAGCAATGGACCTACTGATGATCATTACTTAAATATGACTTTAAGTCCATGCAGGTGAAACCTGCTAAATTCCAAAGCCCCTCCCATTTGATCACCCCTTTTCATTCTTTCTATGTGTTGTCAATGCTGCAGTTCCTAGAATTGGAGATATTGCTTGCCTCTAAATTACTCTGAAAAAATTCACTAGACCTAACATTACCAAGCAATTTCTTTTTCTTCTTTCTTTTTCTTTCTTCCTTTCTTTCTTTCTTCTTTTTTACTAAAGGGAGAAAAAGGGTAATATTATCCTCTCACTGAGATGTCTAGCTTTTTTTTGAGTCATGCTTAGAGTCTAACTAAATGGTCTAAAATTGGTTTAGGATTCCTTTCAGCCACCAATGCCAACTTATCTTAGGCTAACAGGACTAGAGTTCAGTCGATCTAATTTAGAACAAATTTTTATCCGTAGACGGGACGGAAAATCCAGGTGAGGATTAAGGTCATGGCCAAGATACAAAAGGAGGAGGAAGTCTGAGTTAATTATAACCTAGGTTCTGCAGTCTTAATTCCAGGAAGCTGTCCCTTAGCGAGGTGGACAACTTGTTGATTGAGAATATTCTCAGAGGAACTAGATGCTACCAGCTCCTGCATTCTGAGATGAATTTCCCACAAGTGAAGGTGTTAGTATTGAAAGACTAGAACTTCTTGTCAGTTGAAGAAGCCCTTTGAGTAATGAGCAACCATGACTGGCCTGGAAGATTTCCCAAAGGTTATCTTTTTCAAGGCCAGTTGGGTAAGGTTGCTGTGACATGTTTTGAATCTACATTACAATGCACGCATTGTTTAGTTGTTTATTCCTAGACTCTTTTGGTAGATAACTAAAGTAAAAAGACAAAACCCCCAAAACCCATGAGATTATGACCATCATTGCACATGGCAAATATCTTATAATCTCTGATGCAAAATGCAAGCCTGAGTTAAAAGCTACATTTATTTATTTATTTATTTTAAGATTTTATTTATGGGGCACCTGGGTGGCTCAGTCAGTTGGGCATCTGCCTTCTGCTGGGGTCATGATCTCAGGGTCCTGGGATCGATCCGGTGTTGGGCTCCCTGCTCAGCAGGGAGTCTGCTTCTCCCTCTCCCTCTGCACCACCCCCCAGCTTGTGCTTGCTCTCTCTCTCTCTCGCTTTCTCTCAAATAAATAAAAAAAATCTTAAAAAAAAGGAGAGAGAGTGCACCACACTTGCACACCATGAGCTGGGGGAGGGGCAGAGAGATTGGGAGAGGGAATCTCAAGCAGACTCCTCACTGAGCGTGGAGCCCTACCCGGGGCTCGATCCCATGACCCCAGCCGAAATCAAGAGTTGGATGCTTAACCGACTAAGCCACCCAGGCACCCTTAAAAGCTACATTTATTAAGGTCTCTCATACGTGAAGTCATCTGAGCTTCTGATATCTAGTTTAAAAACTGAGAACTTATTTTGAAACGTTATGGGTAGAGACTGGGCGATTAATTATGATCACTGGTTAATTTAACTTTTAAGGTGTTTAGGATTAGGTTTTAGCCTCTCCTCTTCAGCCTTATTCTTCTCTATTTTGAGCCTTATTCGCACCTAGCCAATTCTATTGCTTAAGACCCAGGAAACGGGGCGCCTGGGTGGCTCAGTTGGTTAAGCGACTGCCTTCGGCTCAGGTCATGATCCTGGAGTCCTGGGATCGAGTCCCACATCGGGCTTCCTGCTCGGCAGGGAGTCTGCTTCTCCCTCTGACCCTCTTCCCTTCGTGCTTTCTATCTCTCATTCTCTCTCTCTCTCAAATAAATAAATAAAATCTTAAAAAAAAAAAAAAAGACCCAGGAAACATTGTGTCCGACGCAAATTATACATTAGGAATCATCACTGACTCCTAGAGTTTAACTGGTGTGTCTTACATGTGGGTTAGAGGTCAGATGTCAGTAAATGTCTAAATAAAAACATAAAAAGCAAACCATCCCCTTCCCCACCCCTGCCCCTCACAGTGAAAAAAGCAACTTAAATATCCCAGAGTAGGGAGGATGTGGTTCGGGTTAGGAAACCAGAAATCAAGTCCTGCATTCCAGTCCTCTGCTCCTGACTCACTCACCTCAGGCAAATGGTTCTACTTCATCTCATTTTTGGGGGTGGAAAGTGAGGAGAGTAACATTTTGTTTCAAATCTTCTAGGGCGGGTGGCATCTGTTAACCTGCAGGAGGTCTTTGCTGTCTCAGAGATGGATAAATAAGGAAAAGGTGGGGGTGCCTGGGTGGCTCTGTCGTTAAGCATCTGCCTTCCGCTCAGGTCATGATCTCAGGGTCCTGGGGTTGAGCCCTGCATCAGGCTCCCTGCTCTGCGGGAAGCCTGCTTCTCCCTCTCCCCCTTCCCCTGCTTGTGTTCCCTCTCTCGCTGTCTCTCTGTCAAATAAATAAATAAAATCTTTAAAAAAAAAAATAAGGAAAACGTACAGTGACAGATACCATCTTTTTAAAAAAATTTTATTTATTTATTTGAGAGAGAGAGAGTGAGCGAGAGAGAGCACGAGCAGGGTGAGGGGCAGAGGGAGAAGCAGACTCCCCACTGAGCAGGGAGCCCAATGTGGGGCTCGATCCCAGAACTCCGGGATCATGACCTGAGCTGAAGGCAGACGCTTAACCCACTGAGCCAGCCAGGGGCCCCTGATAGATACCGTCTTAAGAGAGATAAGAGATGGGTTTTGTCGCCAATTTGTGTTCTTTGCACCGATAACTCTGTGAGGTTATTACTGAGTCTTTATTGGCAGCTTTCTTCTGGGGTGGTGAGTCAGATGGTGATGGTAGAGCAAACAAAGTCCCAAATCAAGGGCCATTTGGCTTCAGTATGTAGCCTCAGTGCAGTGGGGGTGAAATCTGGAGCCTTGGGTGAAGTGGATAATAGTTTCCCCCATGAAGTAGTAACACGGGCATTACCTAATAAAGGATGCTTCTTTCTACTAGCATAATCAAGGCAGACAAAACCCTCACAGGGTCCAAGGTCAAGCAGTGATGACCAAAACACCACTTCTGACTTAATATGTATTTGGCTGATATGACTTGTTTGTTTAACCCATCCTGGACTTACGTGGCTTTCATTCCGTTACTCCACTGGAAGGTCACTAAAATTGGTAACTAATTTCCTATCATCACCTTAGAATTCACTGTTATCTCAAAACTATATTTATTCACTTGTTCTATTAAGTTCCCTACCCCCTTGAGACCCAGAGTGAGATGACATCAAGGTAAAAATGCAGCTGTCCTTAGGGGAAACGATAGCTATTTTAACAAGTAGGCTATAATTCAAAACCACACAACAGCGTTTTAATTGCTTTTGGATTTGACAACACTGGAATGCATTAAAACTCAGAGCCTCTAAAGATCACCTTGCCTACTTTGTGTAAGCATCCAACATATAATTCTTACAAAAACCCATCCATAGGTCGCATGTGTAAATCCAAGGAGGGAAAGTGTGGGGTTATAAACCTGCATCTGATGTACTTCTTTCAGTTCTACTACGGATATAAATCCTGAAATGTAGTCTTGGCAAAGGAAGAGGGAGTTAAGATGGTCAGTTCCTAAGGAATTTCTGGGATTTTCAGATTTCAAGCGAGGTCTTCTACAAAAGCTCTTCCGCTGCCTACCAGCTCATTCTTCCCTGCCAGGCCTTATGCGAAGGCAGCCCCACACTCACTTTGTACAGGAAAGGCCTGTTAATCAGGGATCCCAATCTCTGTTTCAGAGTTAGAGACTGAGCTGCAGGAGTGACTCAGCTGCCATCAGCTCTGGAGCAGTCCCAGGCTGCAGGCCTCCAGGAAATGAGTCCCCCAGGCCTGCATCTCCCTCTGTGGCAAACTGCCACCAAACTCTGCTGTGTACCAACCCCGTACCAAACACAGTAAGGACAGTTGGTTGTTTCGTTGTTTGAAAACCTACTATATACAAGCTGGATAGATTATGTGATAGGCTAGGATTGCAAAGGTGAGTTAGGTATTGTACCTTCCTTAAAAAGCTTACAGTTTAGTAAGGGAAAGAAACAAAAGGAAATGTATCATTAGAGTACAATGAGAGGTGTTAGAAGAGGCCCAACAGAAGGGCAAAAGAAAGCAGTTTAGGAAAATCGGAGGAGACTTCTCCAAGTGCAACAGGGATGTGCCAGGTAGATAGAGCCAGCCAGGATGAAGGCAGAGGGGACAGCAGTTTATAAAGGTATGAAATCATTAAAGGGCAGTTTATTCACCACATCTGTACTGAGTGACTTCTGTGTGCTTGGAGCTTGGAATATATCAGGGAACAAAACAGATTTTTTAAAAACTATTTTATTTATTTATTTGTCTGAAAGAGAGAGAGAGCACGTGCAGGGGGGCGGCAGGCAGAGGGAGAGGGAGAAGCAGGCTCCCCGCTGAACAAGGAGCCTGATGCAGGACTCGATCCCAGGACCCTGGGATCGTGGCCTGAGCAGAAGTCAGACGCTTAACCGACTGAGCCACCCAGGCAGATTTTTAGACACCTCTGCCTTTGGGGGCATTGCATTTATTTTGTAAGGTAAAACGATTAAACAATAAGCATAATCAGTAAATCATAAAAAATGTTAGAAGTTGATTTTGGGAAATTTGGGGGGAAAAGCAGAAAAAAAGAGTATTTGGAGAGAGGTTTCTTGGAATTGCAATTAGGGTGGTTGGGGAAGCCCACAGTGAAAACCCTGAATGAAGAGAGGCACCAGCCCCAGGGATATGTCAGGGAAGAGCATTTCAAGCCTAGGGACCAGCCAGTGCTGAGGCAGGCGGGTTTGAAGAAGAGTAAGGAGAACCACGAAGCAGGAGGAGAAAGGGAGGGGAAGAGTTGTGGGAAGGTGATGTCACACGCAAAATAGAAAGCCAGATCTTGTTGGGCCTTGTGGTCCACTGTAAAGATTTTAGCTTTGAATTTGAGTAAGGTGAGAACCACTGAAGGCTTCTGAGCAGAGGACTGACATAGTGACTTACATTTTGATGGGATCGCTCTGAATGACTGTAGACAGGCAAGCTTGTAAGCAGGAGGCCATTTAAGAGATCATTCCAGCAATCCGGGTGAGAGACGGTAGTGCCTTGGTGTTAGGGGAGGTGATAAAAAAAAAAAGGGGGTCAGATTCTGGATATATTTTGAAGGTAGAACCGACAGGACTTCTTGATGGATTGATATAGGAGACTAGGAGTCAAGGATGACTCCAAAGGTTTTTAGCTTGAGCAACTGGAAGGATGGAGTCGCCAACAGCTGAGAGGGAGAAAACCGTGGAACGGGTTTCTGGTGGGGTTGTGGAAGAAAATCAAGAGTTCGATTTTGGACATAAGTCTGAGATGTCTATTAAAGAAGTGCAGGAGGGGCGCCTGGGCGCCCTCAATGAAGTGACTGCCTTCGGCTCATGTCTCAATACCAGGGTCCTGGGATGGAGTCCTGCATTAGGCTCCCTGCTCAGCAGGGAGTCTGCTTCTCCCTCTACCCTTCCCCCCTGCTCATGATCTCTAGCTTTCTCTCAAATAAATAAATAAAATCTTATAAAAAAAAAAAGAAGTGCAGGTTGTGGAGATATCAAAGGGGCAGTTGCATACATGTTTAGAGTTCAGGGGAGAGGTAGGAACTGGAGATAAATTTGAGAGTCATCAGTGCATCATTGTTATTTAAAACCATGAGGCTGGATGAGATCACCCATGGAATGAATACAGATAGAGGAAGGACTGAGCCTTATCTCTGATATTCCAAAGATAAGAAGCCAGAGAAAGGAGGAACCAGAACAGGAATCTGAGAAGTGAAAAAAAGTAAGGAAGGAGGGCCACAGGAAAGCTCTGGAAGTCAAGTGTATCATAAAGCGCATCAAGCAGGAAGAGATAGTCAGGGGAGTCAAATACTGCTGAAAAGTTCACACAAAATGAGGATTGAGAATGGGCTCTTGCATTTCATGTGTAAAGAGAGCAGTTCCGGTGAAGTGGTAGGAATGAGCACCTGACTGGAGTGGGTTCACGAGAGAACAGGAATTGGAGACAGTGAGTATTAGTAACTTCTTTTTTTTTAAAGATTTTATTTATTTATTTGAGAGAGAATGAGAGACAGAGAGCATGAGACGAAAGAGGGTCAGAGGGAGAGGCAGACCCCTCGCTGAGCAGGGAGCCCGATGTGGGACTCGATCCCGGGACTCCAGGATCATGGCCTGAGCTGAAGGCAGTCGCTTAACCAACTGAGCCACCCAGGCGCCCCGAGTATTGGTAACTTTTTAAAAATTTTATTTTATTTTTATTAGTTTTTAAAAAGATTTTTATTTATTTGAGAGAGCATGTGCACACAAGTGGGGGAGGGGCAGAGGGAGAGTCTTAAAACATTTTTAAAATTTATTATTATTATTTTTTAAGATTTTATTTACTTATCTAAGAGAGAGGAGAGGGGCAGAGGGGGGAGGGAGAGGGAAAGGGAGAGAATCCCAAGCAGACTGTGCTGAGTGGGGAGCCCAACTTGGGGCTCCATCTCAGAACCCTGAGATCACAACCTGAGCCAAAACCACCACCCAGGTGTCCTGAGTATTGGCAACTTTTGAGGTGTTTTGCTGCAAAAGGGAGCTGGTTTAGTAAAAGATGGGCTAGGTAATAGCAGGTGTATACGCTCATAGGAACAATAGAGTAGGGAAGAAAAGTAATGGTGTAGGAAAGGGGAAAAGTCATGGCACAAAGACACTGAGTGGAGAGAATGGCTTTAACAAGGAGAATGAACGGGGTGACTGGCTGGCTCAGTCCATCGAGCATGCAAGTCATGATCTTGGAGTTGTGAGTTCGAGCCCCATATGGGGTGTAGAGATAACTTGAAAATAAAATCTTTAAAGTGTAGAGATTACTTGAAAATAAAATATTTAAATAAATAAATAAATAAAAAGGAGCATGAAGAACCCAGTACAGGCAAGGTGGAGTATACACATGGGTGCAGATAGTGGTGAGTAGACAATGTTGTGGGAGTCAATGGAAGTTCTCCAAAAGTAGGAAGAAAGGTCATCTGTTGACAGAAATAATCATGGCTCGAAGGAATAAAAATATGCTTGTCAGGTAGTATTAAATGCTTTCTTAAAGTTCTGCTCAGGAATTTCTATTATTGCAGTGAGACTAACCAACTTATTCTCTCCAACTACATGGGTGCAAGTGCAGAGCATACTGTAGACTTAGCCAAGGATGTGGTCTGGCAAATGAGTGCAACAAAGTGAGTGAGAGGCAAGGATGTTGGGGGTATATTCATGAGAGTGATCATGACTGAACATGGAATATAAGTCGGGTAAGGAAGGAAAGGAGGACATCAGGGTGGTGAGGGAGATGGTAGAATCCATTTATTGATGGTCACAGTGACTCCAAATTAATGTATTAGATGAAATGGCTGGGCAAGATATAGGCAGTCAGAGAGAGGGAGGCATGAAATTCAATCTATGGAGTGGTTGAAAAGACTGGTAATGAACGGGAATGAGAGCCCAAGGAAGGTGAAAGATCTAATCAATGGACTTTAACAGGAACCAAGAGGTTCGTTTGTTGGATCATTTGTGTCAGTGGTTTTCAAACTTTAGCATGTGTCAGAATCACATGGAGAACCAGTTAAAACACAGATTGCCAGGGCGCCTGGGTGGCTCAGTTGGTTAAGCGACTGCCTTCAGCTCAGGTCATGATCCTGGAGTCCCTGGATCGAGTCCCGCGTCGGGCTCCCTGCTTGGCGGGGAGTCTGCTTCTCCCTCTGACCCTCCCCTCTCCCATGTGCTCTCTCAAATAAATAAATAAAATCTTAAAAAAAACCCAAAAAACACAGATTGCCAGATCCTACCTCGAGTTTGTAGCTCTGAGTGTGAGAATTTTCATTTCTAAGTTTCCTAGTGATGCTGCTGCTGTGGTCCAGGAACCACACTTGGAAAACCACTGATCCATGTGTATGTTGAAATTGCCAATTATTAAGATGTAAGTAGTTTTGTAGAGTGATAGTGAGCTGGGAGAAAAAAATTGTCAAGAAATAAAAGAATGGTGACGCCTGGGTGGCTCAGTTGGTTAAGCGTCTTGCCTTCGGCTCATGTCATGATCCCAGGGTTCTGGGATCGAGCCCCGCATCGGGCCCCCTGCTCAGGGGGGAGGCTGCTTCTCCCTTTCCCAGTCCCCCTGCTTGTGTTCCCTCTCTGTCAAATGAATAAATAAAATCTTAAAAAAAAAAGAAAAGAAAGAATGGTTGGGGCCCCTGGGTGGCTCAGTTTGATAAAGTGTCCAACTCGTTTTTGGCTCAGGTCACGGTCTCAGGGGTCGTGAGATCGAGCCCTGACAGGGAGTCGGGCTCTGCTGTCAGCGGGGAGTCTGCTTGAAGATTCCCTCTCTCTGCCGCGCCCCTTCCCCCACCGCTTACCTGAACTCGTTCAAATCTTTTTTTTGTTTTAAAGACTTTATTTGACAGAGACACAATGAGAGAGGGAACATGAGCAGGGGGAGTGGGAGAGGGAGAAGCAGGCTTCCCGCCGAGCAGGGAGCCCGATGCAGGGCTCGATCCCAGGACCCCTGGACCTCGACCTGAGCTGAAGGCAGACGCTCAACGACTGAGCCACTCAGGCACCCCTCAAATAAATAAAATCTTTAAAAAAAAAATGAAATAAGAATGGTTTGGTGACTGATGAACTGCAACAATCAGGGATAGTGGGTAATAATGCGATGAGATTGGCTTTTATGGGGACTAGTTGGAAATTGTGTGTCTGGAGCAAAGGCTGATAGCAGCTGAGGTGAAGGCAAGGCTGCAGGCAGATCGTCAAGGGTCTTCCATGGCAATATTTTCGTAGTAGTAGCTACGACGGTCAGTGTGAGTTCCCTGCTACAGGAATCTCTGGTGGAACTGCACTGTGGTTATCTTGGGTGATGACAACTGGACCCATTCACTTCTGGTAGAAATAAAAACTACACTTAGGAAACACTAAGTCTCACAAAGCTAGATACCACTTCACGTAAGATTAGGTGGGATGGCAATGGATGCAACAATAAAGCTTTAGTAGCTTGGTAGTAGGGCAAAATAGGCGTGAGAATAGACAGAACATTAATATAGATTGAAAACTGTGAAAATACAATACAGGATCTAGCATACAGTTAGGGCACAGACTACAACATGGGGTCATTACCTGGGCCCAATTTGGGGTGCCACTTATTACTCATGGGATCCTCGCCAAATCACTTAATGTTTCTTGATGCTTAATTCCTCTTAAATGGGTTTACCATTTACGCCACATACCTCAGGGGAGTCGAAGGCAAAATGAGATAGTGCAAGTGCTTTGAAGATGTGAAGTGCTGTACAAATATGAAATATGAAGAAAGTAAATTGCATTAAGCTATCCTTAGAAATCAGGGCAGAAGAAACTCAGGTATATAAGGAGTGGAAAAGAAAGGAGAAACTGTTATCCAAGGAGTGTGTGCAGCGTATAGAACAAAGAATTAAGTGTACAATGTGGACAGTTTCACATTCAATGTGATCTTAAAATGAAAGCCTCATATAAAGACTCTGAATGTTTATTTTAAAAGAGATTTTGAGGGAGAAAGAGCAAGCTCAAGCAGGGGGATCGGCAGAGGCAGAGGGAGAAGCAGGCTCCCCGCTGAGCAGGGAGCCTGACATGGGGCTCAATCCCAGGATCCTGGGATCATGACCAGAGCCAAAGGCAGACGCTTAACCGACTGAGCCACCCAGGTGCCCCTGAGTAACAGCCTTTACACAGGCTGTTCTATCTGCCCAGTGTACCATGTCCCATTCTTGGCTACCTCTTACTTTTCCGGTTTACTTTGGATATTGGTTCCTCTGACAGCCTCCCCCCTTGAACCCTCAAGTCTGGGTTCGACTCTTTCAAGCATACCTTCCACTTCCCTCATTATAACACTTCTCACGTTGTTTTAACTGCATGCTTAATTATGTGTCTCACCAGACCAAACCCCGGAACAGGTAACATTCAGTCTTGTTCATGAGTGTCTCTAAATACTGCCTGGCTTTAGGATGCATGCAGAGAGTATCTGAGGGATGCTGAAGTTGTCATTGGCAGACACTTGGCACCCACAAATTCAGTGAAAGCCAGCCTCAACAGTTCTTCACTGCGAGACATTTGGGGGTCAGGAGGGCAAAAGGTAACTGGCTAGTGAGGTGAAGTTGCCACTTCAAGAAGCCCACTGCTATTTTAACCTAAGAAAATACTGTACGTACACTATTGGGCACCACACATTGGAGGTGTGCTGGATGGCAGAGAAGGAAGTTGCAGTGAAGTGAATAGTAAATGTTTATTTTGAGGACCTTCTGGGGGTGACCAGATGGTTACAAGAAAAAAAAAAATACATGTCATGAATCAACTAGGCCTTGTAGGTTATTAGTGCTAGCTGATCTCATACCTTTAAATTTGTTAATT